TTTCTATAAAAAACTAAGGAATATACACCATACTTAGCTATGTATATCGAAGTTTACAAAACGTTTTCCCGTTCTTTCCGATATCCATCCACATTTATTACTTCGAATCTTTGATTATTAACAGGGATTTCCTCCATTGTCGTTTACAGTTATTATGCAAACGTTACAAAAGATGAACCAATATGCGAACGGCGACACATCCAAGTATGGGATACAAATATATATTGTATACTATAAATAGTCTCATAACGAATAACAAACTAAGTCAAATGGTTAGTATTGAATGATGTCAAGGTCACTGACATTGTACTCTTCAAACTATATTTGAAAATGTACACGTTAACAAATAGCCTAGTCCAGAAGAATACCTCACTATTTCTTACTTTAAACTGACCAGGGTTAAAAGTGCAGAAGCTATGTTTACGTAGCAAAAGCTAGATAATCTCGAGGTTTTGCACAACTTTTCTAAGAACGACGTTTGTGAAAGCCCAACTGTTCTAGGCTACCCAAGTGTTCTGACTCTTGCCCAACTGTTCTGACAACCCAAGTGTTCCGAGATCGCTTATTTTATCATATCTTATAATTCACAAGAGAGGGTTCAAAAATTAAAATTTTGCTGGAAAAATGCTAGGATGAAAAAAGAGAGTCCTAAAATGTTGGCTCGTTGAAAGTTTTGACCCATTTTTTAAAAATATGGACCCAATTTTTAAAATCTAGGCCCATTTTTTCTAAATGCCCATTTTCCAAAAATTAGGTATGTTCCTGAAATTGAGACCCAGCCTAATTATATTGATATATTCTGTCTAAATACTCAGGAGTGTCCCATGGTACAAAAGTCGAACAACCGGGGATTTTACATTCCCCAATGGGTATTCTGTTTATATGAATAAATGGAAAGCCTTTTGTAAACGAGGCAGCCAAATTATAAGTGGTTTCATTAGCTTAATTTCAACAGTCATCGCTGTAGAAACCTAAAATTGATATTAGAAATTGAAAATCACCGTATCGCGTGTATTTGATAAAATAAGTAAACCCAGAATACTTGGGCCAAGTCAGAATACATCGGCAAGAGTCGGAATACTTGGGTAGCCATAATGGCCTAAACATACGTATATGCCCCTCTTGCACTGGTAAAACTTATCATAATAACATAATCACGTGAGACTTTTTTAAAGAATTGATAGTTGATGATGAAAGAGAGTCGTAAATAACAATGATATTATATAATATAAAAAGAGTCGCACATGTACAATGATATATGATATACATGTGCTCTGTAGAGTATCAATAATTATCATATCTATTACAATTGTGACAGATTTGCAGAGTAAAATCCGGCTTCACTCCATTTTGGAGAGACACTTGCTCCTGATTTCAGCGGGACCTCCTCATGTTTTCAGCGGGGCCTCCTCATGTTTTCAGCGGGATCTTTAGTTTATTGCTCATGTTAGAAGCGGGGCCTTGAGGGATATGATAAAAGGGAAATATATAAATTTCGGTGAAGCTTTAGGAAGTGAAACTCAGAATACCTTTATTTCATATCACTATGAACATTTCAACTGAAGGGCAATGACCTTCTTCAGCTATAAAATATAGAAATATATAGATAAAGATTTAAGATGATACATTCTCTCTCCAATTATCAAATAACGAAATTCAGAACATCAGATCGTGATACTTGTTTTGCAGCAGTTGCTTTTTAGTATCACTGCCATGTAATAATTGAATAAAATTAAATGAAAACGCTTTGTACAACATACAATTTAAGTAAACAAAAGATACCCCTTCATTTCTTTTAATTGCTCGCGATTTCAGCGGGAACTTGCTCGCGATTTCTAAATCATGACGGGGCTTCAGATACTACCCGTGAGTATTGCTTAATTATTACTTTATTTATCACATGAATAGGAGTGTCTAAGCATTTTGATTGGTCAATTGTGATGATGTATATTCCGTATCACATGGCACGTGACTAATTTTCATGTGATACGGTGGGCTGTATCACTATGGAGTCAATAGCAACGATGTGACGTCACTGGTTATATCACTTCCTAGCTAAGGAAATCAATATGACGTCATACTATTTCACAAACAAGTACAAATACAACGGTATGACGTCATATTGTTTCAAAGCGAAATCAAAAATTATAATAGTTACCAGGAGTACAGGGTACTGAACACAATCATAACTGACCAAATCAAAATGCTTCAGAATTCCTAGACATGTGATAAAATCGTCATCACACGTTTCAGCTTATGTGATACAGGAAATATTCCACTCGGTTAACAATGTATCACCACTCAAGCTTCGCTTTTTGGATGATACAATATTACCTTTCATGGAATATTTCCTGTATCACATGCTGGAACGTGTGATAACTGATATTATTATATCACTATCTAGCTTGCGACAGTATGATTGGTCAAAACCGGGTCACATGTCGTGGAATATCTGGCGATATTCAATGGCAATGCTTATCAGATAAGACAACCGTGAGATATCTAGCGATATCCCACGCTCCCGGGAATTTTCAAAGAATTTTTTTCGTTCAGTGTAAATAATTTAGTTCAGTGTAAGTCAAAATGACAGACCGAGTAGATTCAATATATTTCAATGTTAACCTATGACTTAATAATATTAGGGATGTTTAGCTAGACAGTGATATAATAAAACAAATATTTCACTCTATTTTCGGTGAATACCTGTAGCACTTTCACAAGGTGATATTTCACTTGCCCTTCGGGCTTCGTGGAATATCACTTGTGAAAGATGTACAGGTATTCACCTCAATAGAGTGAAATATTTGTTTAGTATCAATCTTGTTAATGGTACTATGTTCTTATTCCAAAATATAACATTATTTTAGGCATGGAGTTCTTAATAGAAAATTGGGATATTAGAGAGATTTCGGACATAAGTGAAAGTACAACTTATACGTATATGTATACTTTAAAGGGTCATGTCGAACTATTATATTTACTAAAATCAATTTCAAATTGCACTTAATGGAACATAACTATTCCCGATATAGAAAAAGCTCCAACTAGAGACTGTGAATGCACTGTCATCTGCACGTGTATATTATGCTCATTATAATTAAATGCTTGCTTCCGTGTCCCAGTAGTTGCAGTGTATTATAAACACGATTCTTTAAAGTGAGTCATGATCCTTTAAAGTCAGTCATTACATAAACAAGTTGATTATTTCAAAGTTTTCATGATCAGTATAAGTTCAATGAACTTACAAAACGGTATATATACGAGATGATAAACGTATACAGTTGGATCTCCGTATAAAGCTTTACCTGCTTGTGTGTGGAACAATTGACCGCAAGCATTCTTAAAAAATAATTGGCTGAGTAGGAACAGTATCCAATCAAATACTTTAACCATCAATTTGAAACACCAATCAAACCAGTAGATTCTAGCAATTCCTGGAAACGACCGATTCAGTAGCTCAACAAATGACATACAGGGTGTTTCATAACGAGCATCTCCAAAAAGTCAATTTGAGAAGAGATAGGTCTATAACATACGTACTATACAGGAGTACAGGAGTACTGAACACAATCATAACTGACCAAATCAAAATGCCTCAGAATTCCTAGACATGTGATAAAATCGTCATATATATATATATATATATGAGCCTATTTTATTCTAGACAAACACAATTGGATCAACTAAACATGCTACAATTTAAGAAAGAACAAATGGCATCTCTTTGACCTTTATTTATTACAGTCCGAGAAGATCTTTCCTGACGAAAAGCCCACATTATGGAACACCTTGTAAGTTTGCTTATAAGTATAAGTATACATTATAAGTTGTACTTTCACGCCGTGCGAAAACTCACTATTTGTCTTGATTATTCCATGTAGGAATGTCTCTATTATATACCAAAGAAGATTTTTTGGCTGATTTTCCAATGTTAATTTGGGTCTAAATTTTGCTCAATTATACAGAACTATGTAAAAATCATGATATTGTAATTGTTTAATTAGCATATGATATAGTGTAAAATTGTTTTAATTGTCAAACTATTCTTCAGTATTGGAGGCAAAATAAATAAATAAATTACTGTATGTAATGTAACTGTCTTAAATAAAAGATGCAAATAAATTATACATACATGTACATACATACATATAGTCTTGCTCAAAGACTGTATCCACCCTCCCCCCGTCACCTTCACTCTCTTTACCTGTCAATATACAGACCCTAGAGAGAAGGATAAAGGGGGGGGGGGAGTACAGGGTCTTTTAAGCAAGACTAACATACATATAACTGTATATAGAATGTTCGTTGTATATAAATATGATAAGTGTAAATTAGTAAACAATTCCAGTTATATGGTTAGCAATGATCTCCTCAGCATTATAAAGACTGGGTATTAATTGCACTCTATTCAAATCTGAAAATGACATGCCATCCTGTTGAATTCTGAAAACAAGCCATCCTGTTGTACATGTTGGCACCCTGTTACACACAGTAAAAAATATTGAGTTAGTTTGACCAAAATTGTACAATCAGGATTTTGAAACCTGTTGAGAGGATCACTGGTTTCTCCATTCACATTTGTCTGTAAACATGTTAAAAATCTGTCACTGATGTAAAATATATTAAAGATGCAGTGTCATAATCAAAAATTAACTTTGTTTGTTTCGTGTTTTTAATGCTAGAACACAGCATGTTCAATAAATGATGGCACTAGGTCCCTTATTCTGTCAAAGATTAAGCAACCTTGTTGTAATTTTTCTGAAGAATGTCATCGTGAGTGAATTTGAAATGTTTCAAAGACCATGATCTACAGACAATGAAACAATGGTTGCTATAGCAACTCAGTAACATGTGCATTTGACTGTAGACTCAAATTTGCCCTGGTGAAAATTTGTTTAATTTAGTGTTGCGTTGTAGTATTTTGGGCAAGGTGCAAAATTTATTGAACACCCCGTATATGGATTTGATGCAGATGATATAAACGCTGTAGTTGATCTTACTTGTTTTAAATAATTTAATTGCTGTTTTCCTTTCCTCATTGTCCTCAGGCTTCAATGCAGGTGCAACCACTATGCTGATGTCATCACTCACTGTGACATCATCAACCTCCATTGGAGTGGCTCCATCTTTTGTTAAAGTTGGTGCATCACCTTAAACCAGAAATAGCAAAATCATACATTAAGAGAATCAGGAAACTAGAAAACGGCAACTTCATGGAGTTAAATCCCAATAAACACACAATATGACTCATTACTCATTAATTTAAAGGCCTCACTAAATATTCAGTATAATAATAGCCATCTTTGTCATGAGAATTCATGGACTTCTATATCTAAGCTTCTTTCTCGAAGACAATGAGATAGTTAAAAGCTTACTTTGGATCTGGTCCCATACAGTTTTCTTGAAAATGTTGATGACCAATCAAATCAATTACAGAGATAACTGACCAATGAGATTGTTTTAAAACTATAAAATCTTGATGGACATCTTTATCTTAGCCTAATTGGGGTCATAAAAGTAAATGAGTTGATACAACTTGAGATAAAGTTTACAACTTATAACTGTGCAATATAATATCATGTACATGTAACACTATGTAATGTTTAACATTAAGGGCAATAAATACATGATAAACATCACACTTAGAATGTTGTACCGCTCCAATTTGAGGATACTAGATTACAAATGGTAACCAACTAATGTCTAGGTCACATTTGCTCCATTTCATCGGCCAGCGCCTGCCTGATTGAGTATTTTGTTCAAAATTGAAGGGCAAATCTCAAATTTGAGGTCAGGTGTGAATTCTTGAGAACGTGTACATGATTTTAAAAAAAGTTTGATTTGAAGCAAGTTGAAATCAGTTTTGAACAAAATACCGCAATCGACCGGGTGCTGGCCGATGAATCTGAGCAGTGACCTAGGCATAAACCAGAGTATATTTCTAGATGAAGGCAGAAAGATATGATGAGTATAAAATATATTGATGGAGTCATTGGTTGTTGGTAGCAATCAGCCCAAACAAAAATAGGATTTACTTACTGCTGATTTTGAAAAAGTCCAACCTGTGACATCATCAATAAGACTTTGGTGGTCCAAAAGGTAGCAGATTTTATTGGAAGGTCCATTATTCTGATCAATAATATATTTTTTCATTTAGTTTAATCTATTTTATTGTTCCATTCTCAATATTTTATACAATTATGTTATAAAACTGACCTCTTGATAAGCAACAGGCTAGAATATAGAGGTTAGGTAGATGTAAGGTTGGAGTCCCAAGAAGTTTTTCGAAATTAGCAATAGGTAAACTCTATTTTTGTTTGGAGACTGCTAGTGCAACAACATTATGAACCACACTAATATTCTAGATTCTTTTAAGGGAGGGGGAGAGGGGGGTCACAGATTAACTTTGCGAATACAGTTCATAATCCAACATTGAACTTTTGAGATGCTTGCTTATTATTGTTTAAATTAGCGTTAATAGCTTTTATCACTTTTTAAAGGAGGAGCACCTTACAGTTTATTTCACTGTCAAGTATTCAATCATACTCACAACTCAGATTTAATTCACATTATTGCTATGGCCATTTAGCTTAACACACTACCCCTAAGTTGCTTGTCTGACCTTGTTTATTTTTACAAGTTGCTTTGTTGTATTTGTTAATTGATTGATTGGGCAAGATGTATGTGGCAGTTTCGGGATTGATGTCATTGGCCATGCATCATCTGAGCAAAGATATGACCAACTTACTGCTATTACAGATCCATAATTCTGACCAAGATGGATTTCTTTTTTTTTATTTCATCTATTTTATTGATCTATTCTAACATCTCATACTGGTACATATAAAATAATGTAAAGCCACTTATTTCTTGATGGGTCAAATTCACAAGCTAAGATATACACAATGAAAGCTTCATGGATGTTAAGGAGTGTAGATATTTTCAAGAAGTTTTTGTTTCTACATGGCTACAACCTATGGGATCACCAATCTTGTTTTTTGATGTGGTAAAAACTTTATTGGTAAGGTTTATTGAAAATATAACTCTTCCAATACTGTCAATCAATATACATTAAATACTGAAAGAATGGGTATCGATATGGCAAACTTTTTGAACACACGTTTCTTATAAACCAGTCATCAAAAAATTCTGGAAATTTTACACATTGTAAACTTAATGGTCATCTTTTGAATGGTAACAATATAATTTGGAATAGATATATGTACTTTTCTCTATATTGTTTTAGAAAACACATCGGACACTTCTTTTGTTCTTGGTATCATATGTTCGGAATGAAATGAAACATCTATCCGAACCTCATTGGAACTAAAATATAAACACAACGTGCTTATGTCTCTCCATATTGTAATTATACAAAGGAAAGTTTGGTTGTTTTAAAAAAGTATCTTGTTAATGAAATCAAAGGTTTATCTTAGTTTTTATCTATTTCAGGGTTTTTTGTTTTGATGTTAATGTTAATGTTAAATCAACCAAAATTTCCTTTGTACAACTATAATATTGGGAAGTCCAAGAAAATGTTGTATATGTTATTTTGTTCAAACAAGTTTAGGAAAGATATTTTATTTCATTCTCAAGAAATGGTAAAAAGGAACAAAAAACAATTGTACTAAAAAACAAAAAATGTTTTGTATCAATTTGATTTAATCAATTCATTCCACATGCGACAAATTAGATGTAGCCCTTTCACTGATTCACTGTAAATATCAATATCAACTTTATATTTTGGAATGCTTTATGGGTGATATGATTACTTAACTTTTTTATCTTTTAAATCATTGTTACCCTTGGGTTTATTCCTTGAAAAACATTTCCTAATCATAAACATAAACATGACAATAACTAAAACAGCAAACCCTAATATGGAAAATATAATGTCCAACAAATAATACTGGAAAAAGTTTAGCTCCCGTGTAGGAATTGACTTCAAGTGATCCGCACCCTTATGCTTCATGACGTATTCAGCCCAGTATTTGATAGTTTGTGAAGCACTAATTGGTTGATCTCTGGCCAATGCCTGGGCTTTTAAAGCATTCTGTTTATACACTGGGTTCTTAAGGACATCATCTAAAGCATCTGAAAGTAGTTCCGTATTCACTTCATCAAAGATGACAAGTCGCCCCATTTTGTGACGATGGGTGAGGATCCCGCAATGCTGACGTTGGTCATAAAACAAAGGGATGCCAATGACAGGGACTCCATTATACACTGCTTCGGCAGATCCTGATGCCCCACAATGTGTCATAAACACTCGTAGGTTACGATGACTAAGGAGGTCATTTTGTGGAATCCATTTTACAAGCATTGTATTATTACCAAGTGTCTTAGGTGTGGGGCCCCCATATCGCCAGATCACTCGCTGTTTTAGTTTTGCAAATACTGACGCAAATATTTCACGCCTTTCTGCATCCATTCCTGTTGGCATCGATCCAAATGTTAGAATGATAAATCCATGTTCAGCGCCATCTACAAACTCTTTAAATGGAGAAACTAATGGGTTTGCTTTTCGATCCTTCAAGCCAAGTACTGGAATGACATTTGGTAGAAGGGGTCTTGGGTAATAATAAGCAAAGTTTGATTGAACGAATAACAAATCAGCGTCAAACAGATATTTTTCTTTTGTATAATTAAGTCCAATTTTTGGTGCATATATTTTATGATAGTGTTCCTTCATTTCAATCATATCTCTTATGTAGTATTGTTCATTCATGTAATAGTATACATTATACATCCTCTCCGTGAAAGTCATTTCGTTTGAATATCCAGTAAATATAGTTGGCACTGATGATAGGGAGAGCGGAACTAACCAATCAGTGCAGTGGAACTCAAATCCAGTGTTCGACCATAAAATAGTCGGAGCATTCAAATACCTTTTTATCAATGCACCCAAAACTAAATCAAGTGAATCAAAAATTGATAAATCAAATTTAGTTTCCTTTAATCTTGTCATTAATTCTGCGGTGAAGACATTTTCCATGTTATGTGAAATGTATGCTTCTGTGACAGAACTGCGTGCCATAATAAATTTCATTTCGCCTATGATAGACATCGATATGAAATCTTGAATTAGATCTTCTGGTGGAACGTACATTATTTTATCACTCGGGTACTGGTACTTCACGACATGTATCCCTGCAGTTGCAAAATCATCAGGGACTTTATATTCCGTATGTGCCAAATATGTTATGTTGTGTCCAGCATCGGCCATAATCATGGCAATTTTCTCCATGGCAGCAATACGGGAGTTTTTTCCCATAGCAGGGGGCTGTAGGAACACATTACCAGCATTGGCATTATTTCTCAGGCAAAAACTCAGCAAAAAGCTGCTCCATATAAACAGGTTAGAAAGTACCATGCTCAGGTCCTCTCAACTTGTAAAATGAAAGACAAATATAAAATGTCTCAATACATGGTACTTCAAGCCAGTTAAATTTGCATTTCTTTTATTTTGGGGTTCGATTATAAGCTGAACAAAATTGTTGATTACATAGAAAAACATTTATTTTGGAGCTTTATCTATAAAAAAATTCACAAATTCAAAGAGCCCAGAGTAGCTTTTTTCAAAAATCTACAAAATTAAATTGCAGGAAAATGAACCATAACTACAGTATATATGCAGTTCATCGAGGTTGATATTTCACAATAACAAATCAAATATAAACCTATATATTGATCTACAGTAAGTGATCAAGATACTCTTACGATAAATTGCAAGAGTTGACATCAATGATACTCTTACAACAAATTGTGAAGGTGACATACACAGTATCCCATTTGATGAAAACATTGATTTAAGATTTAAGTAAATTCTAATGGGTATATCTCCATGACACTTTTACACATAAATTTGAACATATTTCTGGCACCCAGACTTTATTTTATTTTATTTAAAAGATGGTTGCAGGATATTATATTGAGAGGTATATCAAACAAAGGTGAAGATAAGAGGGCTTTAGATTAAAAGTTAATCAGTTAACATATTCAGTTCATGTTGAACTTTTAGCTAACCCTTCTTGTGTGGACACAATCGTTGATAACCACAAATATATGGGATCAATTTATAATATACAAAATGGTATCATTCAGAGTACTCAAATGATGGTGAAATATCTAGGTTCAAACGCCAAAAGGGAAGGACAAAAAACTGTAAAGAAACCTAGGAGGAAGAGAAGTTTATTCTTCCAAAATGAGTGAGAAAAGAGGGAACAAGGAGATATGTAATATAATCTACCAGCATAAATTGCACCCAAAATTGTTGCATTTGCATGAATCATGATTGTAAAATAAGAACTAATGTCACTTTGTGGATATTAATAGATTAGAAGCTTCAATTGCACCACCAATCTTACTCAAGACATTTGTAATCTTTATATAACTGTATTTGCACAGTTAGGGGGGTCATTACCGACATTGCATAATTATAATTATAATATATAGTAATGACTAACGAAATCAACATTTCTTAAACACAGTTATGAGGGGGGGGGGTCACAGATTAACTTTGCAAATACAGTTCATAATCCAACATTGAACTTTTGAGATGCTTGCTTATTATTGTTTAAATTAGCGTTAATAGCTTTTATCACTTTTTAAAGGAGGAGCACCTTACAGTCTATTTCATTGTCAAGTATTCAATCATACTCTCAACTCAGATTTGATTCACATTATTGCTTTGACCATTTAGCTTAACACACAACCCCTAAGTTGCTTGTCTGACCTTGTTGGTTTTTACATGTTGCTTTGTTGTATTTGTTAATTGATTGATTGGGCAACACGTATGTGGCAGTTTCGGTATTGATGTCATGGGCCATGCATCATCTGAGCAAAGATATGACCAACTTACTGTTATTAGAGATCCATAATTCTGACCAAGATGGATTTCTTTTTTTATTTCATCTATTTTATTGATCTATTCTAACATCTCATACTGGTACATATAAAATAATGTAAAGCCATTCATTTCTTGATGGGTCAAATTCACAAGCTAAGATATACAGTATGAAGGCTTCATGAATGTTAAGGATTGTAGATATTTTCAAGAAGTTATTTCGAAATTTTTGTTTCTACATGGCTACAACCTATGGGATCACCAATCTTGTTTTTTGATGTGGTAAAAACTTTATTGGAAAGGTTTATTGAAAATATAACTCTTCCAATACTGTCAATCAATATACATTAAATACTGAAAGAATGGGTATCGATTGGGTGAACTTTTTGAACACACGTTTCTCATAAACCAGTCATTAAAAAATTCTGGAAATTGTACACATTGTCAACTTAATGGTCATCTTTTGAATGGTAACAATATAATTTGGAATAGATATATGTACTTTTCTCTATATTGTTTTAGAAAACACATCGGACACTTCTTTTGTTCTTGGTATCATATGTTCGGAATGAAATGAAACATCTATCCGAACCTCATTGGAACTAAATGACATAAACACTACGTGCTTATGTCTCTCCGTATTGTAATTATACAAAGGAAAGTTTGGTTGTTTTAAAAAAGTATCTTGTTAATGAAATCAAAGGTTTATCTTAGTTTTTATCTATTTCAGGGTTTTTTGTTTTAATGTTTTGAAAACATTTTGTTAAATCAACCAAAATTTCCTTTGTACAACTATAATATTGGGAAGTCCAAGAAAATGTTGTATATGTTATTTTGTTCAAACAAGCTTAGGAAAGATATTTTATTTCATTCTCAAGAAATGGTAAAAAGGAACAAAAAACAATTGTACTAAAAAACAAAAATGTTTTGTATCAATTTGATTTAATCAATTTATTCCACATGTGACAAATTAGATGTAGCCCTTTCACTGATTCACTGTAATAAATATCAATATCAACTTTATATTTTGGAATGCTTTATGGGTGATATGATTACTTAACTTTTTTATCTGTTAAATCATTGTTACCCTTGGGTTTATTCCTTGAAAAACATTTCCTAATCATAGACATAAACATGACAATAACTAAAACAGCAAACCCTAATATTGAAAATATAATGTCCAACAAATAATACTGGAAAAAGTTTAATTCCCGCGTAGGAACTGACTTCAAGTGATCCGCTCCGTTATGCTTCATGACGTATTCAGCCCAGTATTTGATAGTTTGTGAAGCACTCATTGGCTGATCTCTGGCCAATGCCTGGGCTTTTAAAGCATTCTGTTTATACACTGGGTTCTTAAGGACATCATCTAAAGCATCTGAAAGTAGTTCCGTATTCACTTCATCAAAGATGACAACTCGCCCCATTTTGTGACGATGGGTGAGGATCCCGCAATGCTGACGTTGGTCATAAAACAAAGGGATGCCAATGACAGGGACTCCATTATACACTGCTTCGGCAGATCCAGATGCCCCACAATGTGTCATAAACACTCTTAGGTTACGATGACTAAGGAGGTCATTTTGTGGAATCCATTTCACAACCATTGTATTATTACCAAGTGTTTTAGGTGTGGGGCCCCCATATCGCCAGATCACTCGCTGTTTTAGTTTCGCAAATACTGACGCAAATACTTCACGCCTCATTGCATCCATTCCGGTTGGCATCGATCCAAATGTTAGAATGATAAATCCATGTTCAGCGCCATCTACAAACTCTTTAAATGGAGAAACTAATGGGTTTGCTTTTCGATCTTTCAAGCCAAGTACTGGAATGACATTTGGTAGAAGGGGTCTTGGGTAATAATAAGCAAAGTTTGATTGAACGAATAACAAATCAGCGTCAAACAGATATTTTCCTTTTGTATAATTAAGTCCAATTTTTGTTGCATAAACCTCATGATAGTGTTCCTTCATTTCTATCCAATCTCTCATGTAGTATTGTTCATTTATGTAATAGTATACATTATACATCCTCTCCATAACAGTCATTTCGTTTGAATATCCAGTAAATATATTTGGCACTGATGATAGGGATAGCGGAACTAACCAATCAGCGCAGTGGAACTCAAATCCAGCATTAGACCATAAAACAGTTGGAGCATCTAAATATGTTTTCATTAATGTACCCAAAACAAAATCGATTGAATCAAAAATTGATAAATCAAATTCAGTTTCTTTCAATCTTGTAATTAATTCTGTAGTGTAAAGATTTTCCATATTATTTGAAATGTACGCTTCTGTAACAGAGCCACGTTCCATAAATGCTTTCATCTCATCTATGATAGACATCGATATATACTCTTGAACCATATCATCAGGTGGAACATACATTACTTTATCATTCGGGTACTGGTACTTCATGACATGTATCCCTGCAGTTGCGAAATCATCAGGGACCTTATATTCCGTATGTGCCAAATATGTTATGTTGTGTCCAGCATCGGCCATAATCATGGCAATTTTTTCCATGGCAGCCATACGAGAATTTTTTGCTATCGAGGGAGGCTGTATGAATATATTTCCAGCATCAGCATTATTTCTCAGGCAAAAACACAGCAAATAGCTGCTCCATAAAAACAGGTTGGAAGCCATGCTCTCCATTTAAACTCCAATACAGTAGACAATACTTGAGATGTCTCAATGCAAGGTACTTTAAAACAATCAAATTTGCACTTCTTTTATTTTGGGGACTGGATATAAGTTAAACAAAGTTGATGAATTGAATAGTTTTTCAGCATTTTGCTTTTGTAGCTTTAAATATGAAAATTTTCACAAAATTGAGCCCAAAGTAGCAGATTTTCAAAAATCTGTAAAATTAAATTGCAGGAAAATGAACCATATTTACAGTAAAGATGCAGTTCATCAAGGTTGATTTTTCACGATTGCAAATCAAATATTAACCGCACCAATACAATCAATGTATATTGATCTAAGTGATTGAGATACCCTTTCAATAAAATGGGTAGATAACATACTTTGTACTCTAACAAAAATTGCAGAGTTGACAAACAACACATCCCATGTATAACTCTGATGGAAATATTGAATTTAGTACAATCCAATAGGTATATACTCGTATCTTTAAGAAATTGTTCACATATTTTAACATATTTCAAGCACTCAGAATTTTTTATTTCAAAGACTGATGCAGGATATTAATTTGAGAGGTAAACCAAATGAGGGCTTTAGATGATTAAAAAGGTTAATCATATTAAATTTAAATTAGTGGTAGTGATGACAGAGTTATCAAACGGATTTCTGTTAGTAAATTTAAGTGGGACCCAACACAAACTAAAAATTTCGCAGATGCATTAACAAGTCAAACTAATATTGGGTTAATTAACCAAATTACGGAAGATCTTGAAAATTTACATAATTTAAACATAGATTCTATAAATACTCAAGTTGAAAGTATATTTCTAAATGCAGCGAAACTTACACTGAAAAAGAAAAAGATGTCAGGTAAGAGGAAACAAATAAAATCAAAGAAATGGTATGACAATGACTGTGTTAAATTAAGAAAGAAAGTTAAATCCCTTGGTCAGATACTGACGAAAAATCCCAATGATAGCTGTGATAGACACAATTATTTCAAATATTTAAAGCATTATAGAAAGTGTTGTAAAGGTAAACAGAAAGAATATAAAAAAGAACTGCTAAATAGATTAGAAAATCTGTATGAAACAGACCCTAAAGAATATTGGGAACTATTGGACAAAATGAGAAATAATGAAAAAAGTAGTGACGGAAATGATATATCACCTCGGCGCTGGTATGATCACTATTCCAATCTTTTTACAGATAAATCAAATGACACGACTATGGATGAGAAAATAAAGGCTTTGGAAAATGATAAAACGTTTGATAATTTAGATTATAAAATAACTGATGAAGAGCTTTGGCAAGCAGTGAAAGGCCTGAAAAATAAAAAGGCGACTGGCCATAATGGTGTCAGTTATGAAATGATAAAAACATCATACCCTGTGATAGGGAATATTATTTTAAAGATGTTTAATACTATGTTTTCAAATACACTCTTCCCAAAAGAGTGGAATGTATCATCAATAATAACTGTTTTCAAGAAGGGTAATTCAAGTGATCCTGGAAATTATCCTGGACTATTTATATCAGACTGCTTGTCAAAATTGTTCTCCATAATAATGAATAATCGTTTATATAACTATGTTCAAGAAAATCAAATGTTACAGGAAAACCAAATTGGCTTCAAGAAAAAGTCACGAACCACAGACCACATGTTTATTATTCGTACGCTAATTGACAGATTTATACACTTCGAGAAAAAGAAAATGTATATTTGCTTTGTAGATCTAAGAAAAGCATTCGACACGATATGGCATAAGGGACTGTTTCTCAAACTTCTCCAAGCAGGAATTCGAGGTCATTTTTATCACATGGTAAAACACATGTATACTAATTCAATGACATCAGTTAGAATTAATAGTAACGGTGACCATACTGATATCTTTAAATGTGAGAGGGGGGTTAAACAGGGGGACCCACTCAGTCCGTTAATGTTTAATATTTACATCAATGATGTTGTTGAAGAATTAACACTTGAATCAGACTTAAAATTACAAAAACAAAAAATAAGTTGCCTGCTATTTGCAGATGATTTAGCCATAATTACTGCAAATAAAACTGATATGGACATAAAATTGAAAAAATTAAACAATTATTGGAAACAATGGAACTTAGATATCAATACTGATAAAACTAAAATTGTAATGTTTAATAAAAGTGGTAAACGATGTAATGATATATTCTACATTGGGGACCAGGTAATTGAAAACGTATCAAAGTATACTTATCTGGGTATGGAATTCCATGCCAACGGATCGATGAAACAAGCTGCAATCTTTATTAAAGAAAAGGCAGAAAAGGGGAAATTCAAATTGATAAGTATGCTTACACATGGTGATATAAACCTAACTTTGTGCCTGAAACTATTTGATATATTAGTAAAACCAATTTTATTATATGGATGTGAAATCTGGGGTGCTGGTCTAATAACTAATAAAGATCTTCTGAAAAATAAAGATTTTGGCCTTGAAATGAAATATGACAAGTCACTTCCACCGGAATTACTACATCTATCTTTTTTGAAGTTTATATTAGGGGTGCATAGAAAAACGAGTAATTTAGCTACGATGGGTGAGTTAGGTAGATTCCCTCTGTTTATCAATATATTTTACCAACAAGTTAAATACTTAGATCATATAGAAAATGAAGGAACGAGTTCATTACTAATTAATGCATATGCAGATAGTATTGAACTATCAAAAGTTCATAATCAATCATCATGGTACTATGACATTGATAGAATAATGGCATATGTTCAACCACAAGATAAAAATTACATTAATAGCAAACCGCTTGATATTAAGAAAATCCTTGAAAAAAGATATATAAAATATTGGGAGAAAAACTGTCAATGATAATAAAGGGAAATTAGAATTTTTGAATAATATCAAACAACGATGGGGAAAAGAACCATATTTGAATTTAATAAAGAACGCTGGACATAGGAAATCTATGACGCGATTAAGAATAAGTGCACACAATTTAGAAATAGAGCGAGGAAGATATATAAGACCAATAATTCCGAGAGATCAAAGAAAATGCAAATTATGTAAAATCAACACTGGTACGGAAACTCATTTTATTTTTGAGTGTCAAAAATTGGAAAAAATGAGATATGAATACTTTGATACGTTTAACTCGATTTGCCCAAATCTAACTGTATTGACTACCGAAGAAAAGGCTTATTATATGTTTAATGCTGAGGGTAACATGTGTATCACCTTTGCAAAATACCTTTATGAAATAATTGAAAAGAGATCAACTATATTATCAATATAAATATATACATGTAGGCTAATAGTAGTTGTTGGTATATATCTAATGATCAGTCAATCACATTATATTGTCATTATATGCCATGTAAAATTTGCATTGTATGTTATTGTAATTGTATGTATAGTTTTATTTTTATTTTATCATGTTTATTTGCTGTACACTCACCCGAAAGGGATTTTTAGTACAATAAAGCATTGAATAATATTAGTAAACATATTCTGTTCATGCTAAACTTTCAGCTATTCTTGTATGGACACAATCACTGATAACCAGAAATGTATGGTATCTATTTGTAATACAACAATATCCTCTTTCTCTCCCCCCAGCGATAAGCAGTCCGCATTTCCCTGATTAAGAACTCACAATCTGATTCACAGTCGCAACACAGCCAATAAAATTATATCTTACACACCTTCCTGCTCGGGCATGCTTTTATGTTACAGCAAATCAAAATAAAATTCATTCAAAGCTGTCGCAAAAGCATTCCAGTAATGCATGATCGAGGACACACAAGTATTTGGGGTGATATAGAGGTTATTTAATGGGAGGGATGGAATATGGATTTTATTCCGAGGGAAAATATGATATTGGCCAAGGAAAATATCATATTGACCGAGGGCGATAGCCCGAGTGTCAATATGATATTTTCTGAGGCCAATATCATATTTTCTCAAGGAATAAATCCATATTCCATCACGACCATCAATAACCTATTTATTTCATAATATTCTTTTTTCAATTTTTGTATGTCATCATCCAATGATTGTGACATAAAATTATACAATTTATCATATAACATTGAGCATTCTGTTCAAAAATGTATTCAATTTTGAAGAAAATACTCAACCGGCTGGGCGCCGGCCGATGAATCACAGCATTTGTGACCCAGGCATTAGCGAGATTCCAATGTTGTTCATGGCATTTACCTCTTGAATACAGGATATCGATTTCGTCATTGTCAAGGCTTGCTGCAGCAAACGGCTTATTTCCAAGACCTTGACTTTTCAAATTCTTCTGCTTTGATTTTAGAGCAGTTCGGCACTTATCAAATACGATGGACTTCAGCAAATCTTCCATGTATTCTTTACCCTTGAGATATCTTGCGATGCTGCTCATAAAAGCTCTTAAGGTTGATGGTTGATATTCTGCACCATCCTCCTTTCTTATGTTAATGAAAAAATGTTTGATGTGGTCATTAAGATCATGGGGATCTATCTCCTCGATTGGTCTGAGTTCATTCCTCTCACTCCGAAAAAAATCTACTAGGATTTTTATGTCACTTTTAGTTTTCTTCGAAGTATTGATATTTTCTTGACCTTTAATGAAGTCATCAACATCCTCTGTTGCATACCTAGACATATTTGTCACAGTAATAGACCTTTGTCACAGTAATAGACGTAAACTAGATGATAATAATTTCAATAATTTCAATTTTCCAAACGATTTATTTACTTCCTGTAGAGATGTGCTAGACGAAAAGCGTAAAACTCAAGAGAAATTACCGGGAATATTTCTGATACGGGATCTGATACGGGATTTTTGCTGATACGGGATCCAATACAGGATCTGATATGGGATTTTGGCTGATACGGGATCTGATACGGGATTTTTCAAATAACACTTTTATTCCCTGTTATTTTCCCAGGGAAAACATGTTATTATGGAATAAATAGAGGTTATTTAATGGGAGGGATGGAATATGGATTTTATTCCGAGGGAAAATATGATATTGGCCAAGGAAAATATCATATTGACCGAGGGCGATAGCCCGAGTGTCAATATGATATTTTCTGAGGCCAATATCATATTTTCTCAAGGAATAAATCCATATTCCATCACGACCATCAATATTTCAATTTTTTTATGTCATCATCCAATGATTGTGACATAAAATTATACAATTTATCATATAACATTGAGCATTCTGTTCAAAAATGTATTCAATTTTGAAGAAAATACTCAATCGGCTGGGCGCCGGCCGATGAATCACAGCATTTGTGACCCAGGCATTAGCGAGATTCCAATGTTGTTCATGGCATTTACCTCTTGAATACAGGATATCGATTTCGTCATTGTCAAGGCTTGCTGCAGCAAACGGCTTATTTCCAAGACCTTGACTTTTCAAATTCTTCTGCTTTGATTTTAGAGCAGTTCTGCACTTATCAAATACGATGGACTTCAGCAAATCTTCCATGTATTCTTTATCCTTGAGATATCTTGCGATGCTGCTCATAAAAGCTCTTAAGGTTGTAGTTGATATTCTGCACCATCCTCCTTTCTTATGTTAATGAAAAAATGTTTGAGGTGGTCATTAAGATTATGGGGATCTATCTCCTCGATCGGTCTGAGTTCATTCCTCTCACTCCGTAAAAAATCTACTAGGATTTTTATGTCACTTTTAGTTTTCTTCGAAGTATTGATATTTTCTTGACCTTTAATGAAGTCATCAACATCCTCTGTTGCATACCTAGACATATTTGTCACAGTAATAGACCTTTGTCACAGTAATAGACGTAAACTAGATGATAATAATTTCAATAATTTCAATTTTCCAAATGATTTTTTTACTTCCTGTAGAGATGTGCTAGACGAAAAGCGTAAAACTCAAGAGAAATTACCGGGAATATTTCTGATACGGGATCTGATACGGGATTTTTGCTGATACGGGATCCAATACGGGATCTGATACGGGATTTTGGCTGATACGGGATCTGATACGGGATTTTTCAAATAACACTTTTATTCCCTGTTATTTTCCCAGGGAAAACATGTTATTATGGAATATAAGTTTTTATTCATGAGGTAAATACGCTTGCCTGGATCTCATTGTTTTAGTAATAACAATTAACCATCAGTATAAATTACATGTGCATGAACACGAGTCATTTGTAGAATGAATCTGGGGAGCTTTTTCATGCATTTTGCTTGTGTTTATTTCTAAAAAACATCAATACAATTATTTCTCATTTTCAAGGATTATCTATGGATTAACACCCAGGTATTGTTATTTTTCAAACTTCAGAGGACTGGGAATCATTATTACGCTCGCTTTTGAATAATATTAATGATTTCTTAAATATGTTTCAATTTGCCAATAATTTCTCAAATTGTGTAAATGGTACCCCTTCCTTAATTCCAAGAATTTTCTCATTGAGGAATTTCCTATAATAATTAACCCAATGGTATAGTTCCAAGCAGATTTTGAGATATCAGGAAAGTTAATCATTACTACACACCTCATTGGCTTGTTATATAAACCAAAACAACCCAATAAGGTGTGTTATAGTAGTAATAATACTCATTACTTTTACCTTGACAAAAGGTTATGCAGTTTTCAAAGTGGCGACCACCTTTTAAAAAAATTTTGATTAAAACTATTTTCCAATATCCATCTTTCAGCCGAATAGTCCACAAGTATTCGACTTATTTTCATGACAGACGGACAGACTGAAGGATGGGCGGATGGAGGGCTTCACTTTGTCCCTACTAAACTTCGTTTGTAGGGATAATAACTGGATATTAGAGCTATCAACAACACTTTTTTTGAAGTTGTAAACTCCAGTTGACCAAAGACAAAGATGTTGTATACTCCTATATTATCATCTTTGGATTAATTTAAATGTAGCTGAATGCTTCAGTTGACCAATCAAAGTGCAGCTGTTTACTTCAGTTGACCAATCAGAGTGCACTTGTATACTTCAATTGACCAATCAGAATACAGTTGAATACACCTTTTGACCAATCAGAAAGAAGATCTAATTACTCACCCTTAACTTGATGGTTATTGGTGTTTGTTGTCTGGACATCTTTAAGCATTGTTAGACTAGGCATGAGTTGTTCTATAAATTCTTCACGTTTTGGTGCAGTTAAGTTCTCTCCAGATGGAACATGGAAGTCGTACATTAAAATGCTGGTTAAAACACTGAAACAACAACATTCAGAGAGACTTGATTTCTTGCAATTAAATTACATTCTGATTTCTAAACTTTTGATTCACTGCATCAGATTAATTGTTTCAAAGATCAATCATCAGTCAGATTAAGTTATATGAAAAAATTAGAAATTATTTTTATTTTACAAGACAAAAAAATTCACATTATTTCCTTAGACATTTATTCATCACAATTATTATCAGAAAGAATCCTGGGAAACCCTTACCTGCCCAATCTGTCTCTGACGTTCTTATAGGCATGAGTGAGATATGGTTGAAGATACTGCAAAAGTCTGTGGAGCAACTGGTTCACACGCCACTCCTGTTGAGCTAGGACACCCTGTAGTACATAGAGTCGGCTGAAATATAAAACAGAGTGAGTCACATGTAAAGGACACCCTGTAGTACACAAAGTCGGCTTAAATATAATACAGAGTGAGTCACATGTACAGGACACCCTGTAGTACACAGAGTCGGTTGAAATACAAAACAAAGTGTGTCACATATACAGAACACCCTGTACTGAACATAGAGTCAGCCGAAATGCAAACAAAGTGTGTCACAAATACAGAACACTCTGTAGAACATAGAGTCAGCTGAAATATAAACGAAGTGTGTCACATATACAGAACACCCTGTAGAACATAGAATCAACTGAAATTCAATATGCAGCTTTGATAAGTTTGCACACTTCAGTAGCCTAGGTGATATTAGATGTAAGGTATATATCGAGAGAAAATTGTGACCATGTGACTTTAACTGACCAATTTATACCATAATTTACCTATAGGATCCTGATACCTGTGCTGGTTTAAAATAGCATATGTATTTCATTGTATATATACCATAGTAATCACTGGATAAATTTCACCCACCTTGCATCATTAAAAGAGCCACCAACTCCTCTCAGTGGATCCTCCATAAGGAGTTCAAACAAGGGATGAAACTGTCTAGGGTCCCGATCCTGGGACATAGTCGCGAAACATGTCCCCCAATCTTCTACAGTTTCCACTGTCATATTATTCAGAGCAGTTCGTAAAACTGGACACAGCCACTCCCACATGGCCGTCACTTTTTCATAAGGCCAGTTTTTTGATCCACGGACAAGTCCCGCGATTATCTCAGCACCGACACGTTGGCTATAGTCATGTGTGTCGTGAGCTGTGTCTGCGACCAGTCTTTCTACATGGGGTTTATACACAGGCAAGAATGTATCTCCAAAATTCCTGAATAGTCCCTGAAAGTTTAAAAGTTAGAACAATATAACATTTTGATATCCTAAACCTTATTAATTGTCATCCATCTCTCCACAATTTAGTTAGTACACTATAAGTAAAATTCATGAAGATCCTGTACACAGCAATTTTTGCAACTAAACTAGCATATATAAATGAATATTTATGATGGTATACGATGTAGCTGACAAAACTTTTCAACATGTATACATTTCATATTTCTGAATTTGAAAATGAATAAAAACATGCACTATAAACTACATGTATAGGGCTTACTTTGAATAGTAAAAAGTTCTTTGAGTTGAATTTGTCGCGTCCTTTCTGGTCCTCTAGAGTTAGATAATGCACAAACTTTGCCACATAGTCTGCATCTGAGAAACTTTCAAATATTGGCTTCTCTTCCTCTGATAAATCCTCCAGTTTTCTATCTAAACTTGGCTGTTGTGCTGCAGGGGCATAGGTGTACATGTGTCTAAAATAAGAGGGCATAGGTGTACATGTGCCTAAAATAAGATGGCATAGGAATAAGAGGGTGTTGGTGTACATGTGCCAAAAAATAAGAGGGCATAGGTGTACATGTGCCTAAAATAAGAGGGCATAGGTGTACATGTGCCTAAAATAAGAGGACATAGGTGTACATGTGCCTAAAATAAGATGGCATAGGTGTACATGTGCCTAAAATAAGAGGGCATAGGTGTACATGTGCCTAAAATAAGAGGACCTAGGTGTACATGTGCCTAAAATAAGATGGCATAGGAATAAGAGGGTGTGGGTGTACATGTACCAAAAATAAAAGAGCATAAGTGTACATGTGCCTAATAAGAGGGCATAGGTGTACATGTGTCTAATAAGAGGGCATAGGTGTACATGTGCCTAATGAGAGGGAATAGTTGTACAATACGTCTCTAAAATAAGATGCCATAATCAAAGGTATCCAAGAAATATTAATGCAAAGGCTACAGTTGTCTCTGAACTGTGAGGGCATATGTGAATATGAAATATGAGGGAAGGGGTGTACAAAAATATGATGATATAGGCAAATGAAATTAAAGCAGAGCTGTACAATATACATAGGGCTGAAAGAGAGGGCTATTGACACGAATGACACCCCATCCATTAATATAAAAATAAAAAACAATGCTCAATTTAAAATCTTACTTTGGCCATGCGTAGTAGCCCCAAAAGGTTTTGTGAACCAAGGTGGTTTTATCAAAGTCTTCCTTTGTAGTTGGCACTGTGTCCTTGTTGTAAACATGCCACTGGTTGTCAGCCCGATCACCAGGCCTCATTGGGGCTGTCGCCAGGGGGCGCTGTGTACCACTAAGGGCATACGGATCTATCTCTACTTTCTTGAATTTTTGTTTTTGCTGCTGTAGTATAGCAGCCACTGAACTAACACATAGCTGAAAAAATATAATTTTTCAAATTATTGTTTCATAAATCGGTGTGTTGTTTTTTATACCATCCCTTATAAAGTGCAAATGCACAACTCCATTTTCTCCATATATTTGATCAGATAAATAATAACTTCTTGTTTCAGAAAATAAATGAAAAACTTTAGAAAGCGAGACATTGGCATTTTTTTTAGAAAGGATCCTTAACAAAGAGTAAATTCTGCGCTAATGACTCATTCTCCTAAATCTTGCAACTTGAAAAATGATTTAACAATCTAAACTACCTTTCTGACTGTGAGAGTTTCGCTGATCAGGTTTTTCATGAATAACCTGACACCATTTACAGGCATCCTGACATCAAAGCGTAACATCAGTGACACCAATTCCATTGACATCTCACTGAACTTCCAACGACTGAAAAATTTCATATCAAATAATACAGATTTTATCTTTATATCAATATCAGTTATGTTTTGCTTGCATAAGCTATGCAAAAATGACATTTTCTAGATCGATTTGTGATGAAATAGAATCTTTCCTCGATATTTGTTCATTTATTATAAGTTTTTTTTCTCATGACTTATTATATTGAGTGACTTGGTACATTGAATGAACATTGGGGTGTAATATCACATTATTCATAATAAACACTTTAAAATAAAAACAACTACTTACAGTTTTCCACTGTTTATAAGAGATATCAGAGTCTCTACTAGGTTTAAGTACCCCCTGGAATACAACAGAATTAATCAATAAATGTACATGTACTGTTCAAATACAAATCAAGGTAAATTCTGAATGCTTAACTTTGAAATTTTACTTTTCCAAAGTTAATAAGCCATTTTCAATGTGAAGGTTCGTAACTAAATAAATCAGACAAAATTATTAATTGGTATATAAAGGCATTTAAACTACATGCAAACAAAATAACCCATAAAAATGAATGAATGAAATATATACTCACTGAATCCATTGAACAGTGTTCCTATTTATTTCCTCTTGTCTCCCTTTCTCTATCTCGGTCTGTGTAGCACTAGATACACTTGGGTTTGGTTGACTTGTGCATGTAAAGACAGCATTGGCTGCTTCTATACTGGACTGGGATGTCTAGAATCAATATACAAGGGGTTTATTCTAAATGAATAAACAAAAAGTAGAAATGCAATTGATTTAGTAAAGTATGTAATGTAAAAAGATTTGATTTTGTTCTGAATTGGCCCTTTAAAACTCTTTTTAAAAACGAAGCCTAAACTGTTGTTCTGTCAAGATTGCACCAACCGGATGTTTCCCTCATGCAAACAAGAAATTGATCAGGGATGAGAATAAAATGGGTTTCTACTAGTGGAATGGGTGATAGGTGTTTTTCGTGCGATGAAGTCTAAAAATTTTAATTGGTATAATCATTTAGGCCACCTAAAACTACATTTATTCATGAATTTTCAGTTTCCAATTTTTCAGCGTTAAGCGGCTGTTCCATTTTACCCCCCCTGAAAAACCAAAAGAGGGGTATGTATACAAATGCAGCCATTTCACCATTATACTTCGAGCAATTCTATTGAAAGTTCATGGGAACATACATTGTATAATAGACATGTATCATGCAAAATATGAGTGTGAAAGCTCTACTTGTTGCCATGGTAACCACTCGTTGAATTATAAAAATGACTGAAAAAGGGCGATTTTCGTACATTCGGATTGCAGTAAACTGAACTTATCTTGTTGTAAGAGATTGATTGATCAGTCTAAATATGCTTAAAAACTTCCCAGATGTGTATGGTACAAATCTAGGGGAAAAGTAAATTTTTGGGATGTTTCTTATATTTAACATGATTTTTTTAATATGCATACCCCTATTCAGGATCCATATGTGCTTTTCTTGTCTGTAATGTCAAAAACATAGATATCTTCAATATTTCAAGTTGAATCTTTTCTTATATTATACTGGAAAGCTAAATGCATATTAATGAGATCCATGGTCAGGATTAATGTAATATTTGTATCTGTTGCTCTGGTGACCACATATAACTATTAATTTTTCGCACATGTTCCATGTTATATCGTGAAGACAGCAGATTTCATCATTTCAGGAATATTTGTCTTGCATCATTACATACACAATACACAGAGTAAAAGGTCTAAAGAGGTACTATATCTAGTATACTTAGATGGGGTTTGTCATGACTGACTCTTCAAAATTGAGGTTTTAAAAAAAAGCACATGTAATGAAAAATCAGAAAATGGAACTTGTTACAAGATTAAGTTGAAAACAGGTAAAATAAACTAATAACATTTATGACATATTATTCTCTTACATCTGAAGAAATTGAAAATACATTAAAACATAAATTTTCAGAATAGTTTACCATGAAATTAAGATTAAACTGAAAAAGTAAATGTCAAACAATATATATTTCAGGGAAGCAATGAGTGAACGAGTCTTGAGAAAGCGTGTTGCACCTGCATCAGAGGCTCGCGGTGAGACATCTAGGCCAACATATCTGTTTTCCGATTCCAAATGTATTTTTTGTGATAAGACTATTAAATATCTGAAAAACAATAAGAAGGAATATCTTACACAATGTACTACAAAAATAACTAGAGCAACAATTAATCATGCTATGCATATAAGAGAGGATTGGAACTTAATTCGCAAAATTGGCGGACGTGATCTTCTGGCTGGAGAGGCTCATTTCCATCAGGCTTGCAAGCGCTCATATTGTGAACCTAAAATTGTTGGAAAACCTGAGGTAGATGACTATGGTGATTTAATTGAAAAAACTACAGGGACAAATGTCAAATTTGATGAAAAAGAACCAGAGGAATCCAATGACCCATCATTCACCTACATATGTGAAAGGATATCCGAAGACATTATGCTTAGGAAGAATGTTGGTTCTCTTAATAACATTCACAAACAATATCAGACCCATAAACAAGAAAATGATCCCGTGAATTATCAAAAGGACTATCGCAGAAGTAGATTGAAATCTCGCTTGCAGTCTCATTATGGTAATAGAATAGTTTTACAGCCTGGTAAAAATGAGAAAGACATTTTGATTTATAGCTCAAGTCTAACTGTATCAGATATTGCCGACTCAGCTGCAATGGTAAATCAGACAAATGAACATGGATGCCTGCAGAAAGCAGCACATTATTTAAGAGACAAGATAATTGCTGCTAGTGAAAACGTCTCTCCAACAAACTGGCCACCATCTGCTTCAGAATTATCAGCAAGTATGTTCCACACTATTCCACCAGAGTTGCAATATTTTCTTATACTTCTGCTATCAGGCAATGACACAAAAATGAACAATACAAAATATAAACGCTTGACTCATACCATAGGGCAAGACATTTGCTATGGTGCAACAAATGGATCATTCAAAATGCCAAAACATTACTTGCTTGCGATAGCTATTCATCATCTTACAGGGAGTGCAGAGTTGATCACACTACTGAATCATCATGGCTACTGCACCAGTTACACAGAGGTCCTAGAAATAGAGACTGCAATATGTGAAGAGATTAAACAGCAAGTGTCATCCTTACCACCATCAATATCCATTTTGTCAAACCAAGTTCTGATGTATTGCTTCGATAATTTTGATCTCAATGAGCAGACTCCCAGTGGTTCAGGAACTACACATTCTACCCATGGCATTGTCATTCAAGAACAGAAATCTGTGAATCCTCACTGTCATCAAGACACAGCTATGGAGGTTGACGCACATACAGAGTCTAGTGAAAGTCAAGGTCAGCTGGAGCCAATGGATGATGATGGTGGTGATATTTCTTCAGAATCTCAAGGTGGTGTGCCAATCCTTCTACCTCAGTCAGATGAACATGTTGATGAAATTGTTGATTCTAGTGCTCAGCCTCCATCACTTGAACCAACTAAGGAACGCTACCCTAATGCAAGGAGATCAGTTAAACTGACAGAGGACATATTACCACCATGTTATGCAGTTAACAAAGCAGAACCACCTAAAGGGTTTGATGTCTTCACAATCTCAGAGGAAAGTGAGGTGGCATTAGCTAATGCTTCTAGAAGTGATCTGATGTGGATTTTGTGTCGTCATCAACAGTCAGAAAATCAGAGTGTCCCTAGCTGGGCAGGTTGGGTGTCACTAACAGGCAAGGGCTCAACTAATGTACCAGTTCAGTCTGTTATAGACTATCTTCCTCCAATAAACCACCCAATAACTGAGAATGCTACAGTTCAAGAGTGCCTGAATATTGCTATGCAAGGAACAGCTGAGGTGGGCCAACATTACACATTAGTAACATTTGATCTGGCAGCAGCCAAAAAGGCCCTGAACATTGTATGGCAATTTCAAAAATACTGTACTGTGATAGTAATGTTAGGTGTTTTCCATTCGCTGTGTTCTTATTTCTGCACCATTGGAAAATTTGTGAGGGGCTCTGGTTTTGAAGAGATACTGCTTGAATCAGAAATTTGTGCTAGTGGATCATTAGATGCAGTCCTTAATGGAAAAAATTACAACAGAAGCCTGAGAGTTCACAAGATAATGTATGAAGCACTGGAACGTATGTTGTTGGAGAAATTCCAGCAGGAACACCAACTAAATCCAGCTGCAAAGAAGAAACTTCAAGATCTAGCTGAAAACCTAAATGAAGAGCTTCTGCAGCAATCCCTCTCTGATAAAGATGTTAGTGAATTCTGTCAAAAATTCTTCCAGTTCAAAATGGACATCAGACAAGGGAAAATGGGTAAAACTCCACAGTTTTGGGTCCAGTACAGTGATATGGTTGGCACTGCACTTCAGTATATCCGTGCCACAAAGGAAAATGATCTCAACCTCCACATTGGAGCACACTCAGCCATGAATAGTGCATTCTTTGCCATGGACCATCAAAATTATGCCAGATTTCACTGTTACCAATTTCTCACCCTTCTCAACCTGGATAAGACACATCCTGGTGCAACAGAGCTCATCTCAAACAATGGATTCTCTGTTTCAAGATCAGATGTATCATGCTCACGAAATCCTGTGGACATTACCATAGAACAAACTATCAATTGCAATGCAAAATCTAAAGGTGGTATTGTTGGTTTCAGTAGGAACAAGGGTGCATATCAGCGCTGGTGCGTTACACGAACACAGAGAGGACTGTATACAGAGGCTGCCCTTGATATAGCTGGAATGAGAGACTCAGACGATATCCTCCATAGAGACAACTCATTAGCCCAAGTAACAACATCTGAAGCTGGTGTAAAGTCAGTAATGCAGGCATTCAAAAGCTTCATCAACCCATTTGACATCAATGAGCCTGCTCTTCACTGTGTATCATCTGGTTTGCCAGCCCCAGCAGAAGTTCAAGGGCTGACTGATGCATTACAGAAAGGTTACCAAGCAAGTGAACAATTCATTGATAGACTGAGAGATCAAAACTCAGAACTTAAGTTTCACGATAGCATAAAAAAGATGAAAGTCGCAACATTTGCAAATTCTGCTGTGACCAAGAAGATGACAACTTCAAAAAATAAGGTTGTTGAAATCAGCGCCACAAGAAACCTATTTGGCCAACTACTTAATGTATCTCAAAACAGTGAGATTAGTCTTGAGAGGCTCATGGGATATTGCATGGGTCCTGTTCCTTGGCCTCTTGCCCTACCTGATGGCTCTCTAGCAAAAACACCAAAGTCAACACTCATTCATGAGCTGCAAGGGAATGACAGTATTCCATCTCCCCCATCTGAATCAATAACTATCTTGGATGGAAATATGAGTTTCTATCAAATGGAAAAAATAGCGCCAACATTTGGTAAAGTTGCAAGAGACATATTCACACGCTTACCAAAATCCAAGAACGTACATTTTGTAACCGATTCCTACCATGAAAACTCCATTAAAGATCTTGAGAGAAACAAAAGGGGGCAGTCAGATCCAATTATCCTGAAGGGAGCCCACACTAAAACCCCATCAAAATCATGGAATAACTTCCTAACATGTGGCAAAAATAAAGAGGAACTTATCAAGTTCCTGTTACGTGAATGGCAAACCAAGAAGTATGCCAGTGATCTGAAGGGAAGAAACATCTACTTCTCAGACCAAGAGAATACAATTCTACTCACAAGTGATGGTGAAAAGGTTTATACTTCCCCAGTAAATGACCTAGCATCTAACCAAGAAGAAGCAGATACAAAGATAATTCTTCATATGCTGTTCGCTGCAAGACATGGAAAACCAGTAATTGTTCGATCCCTTGATACCGATGTCTTTCTAATACTCCTAAGGTATGCTGACAGGGTCGATGTACCGATATATTTTGACACTGGAAAAGGAGATGGGCGTCGCCTCCTTGACATCCAAGCAATAGCCTCCCGCCTGGGCCAGCAACTTTGTGAAGCACTGCCCAGCTTCCATGCTTTCACGGGGTGCGATAGCACTAGTGCATTCATTCGCAGAGGCAAGATAAAGCCACTCAAAATTCTTACCAGAGGTCCTCCAGATGAAAGGAATCGTTTCCTGAAACTGTTTACTACAATGGGAAATACTGTTGAGGTTACCAACCAAATGGAATCTACTGCTGAGGACTATGTTTGCAAAATGTACTCTAGAAAAACCAAGCTAAGGAACATCAACAAACTTCGCTATGAACTATTTCAACAAAGATATTCCCCCAAGAAATCAGGAGATGCTTTGACTTACGATGGAACTGACTTGTCACTGTTACCCCCCTGTAGAGACTCTATAATTCAAAAGTTGAAAAGGAGTAACTATCAAAGCTATATCTGGAAACAATCACACATTGCTGTCAGTGAACTCCCAAATGCCACGTTGCATGGCTGGCAACTTGATACCAATGGTAACATTGAGCCACAATGGTCTAGTTTACCCGTCTTACCGAAAGACCTTGTAGATCTGCTTGATGAGGTTGCTGAGCCTATTGTACTTGAAGATGCAGACTTCTTGGGAAGTGTTGAGGGTGGAGATGTTCTAGACAGCTAGAAAAGAAAAATGACTATAAACATGTTAAACTTCAAAACAATGCTAATGGAGGTAAATTTGTACTCTCATACTGTTTTGTGACATTCTCCATTTAATATGTGGTTACCATAGCAACAGTTACAAAATTTTTTCTGAAGTGTATCTTAGCTCCTCACTGTAGATTGAGTTTTCCTATTAATTATACAGTGAAATATTGGTGATAGCCTACATAGTATACTATAAGAACTCATTTTGACATTTTAATAGACATTGGAGAAATAATCACTTTCTCGTCTTGAATGAGGGTATGAGTATTAAAAAAATCATGTAAAATATAAGAAACATCCCAAAAATTTACCTTTCCCCTAGATTTGTACCATACACATCTGGGAAGTTTTTAAGCATATTTAGACTGATCAATCAATCTCTTACAACAAGATAAGTTCAGTTTACTGCAATCCGAATGTACGAAAATCGCCCTTTTTCAGTCATTTTTATAATTCAACGAGTGGTTACCATGGCAACAAGTAGAGCTTTCACACTCATATTTTGCATTATACATGTCTATTATACAATGTATGTTCCCATGAACTTTCAATAGAATTGCTCGAAGTATAATGGTGAAATGGCTGCATTTGTACACATACCCCTCTATTGGTTTTTCAGGGGGGGTAAAATGGAACAGCCGCTTAACGCTGAAAAATTGGAAACTGAAAATTCATGAATGGATGGAGCTTTAGGTGGCCTAAATGATTATAACAATTAAAATTTTTAGACTACATCGCACGAAAAACACCTATCACCCATTCCACTATACCTTTGACCCCCAAATGTACACAACAATATTGAATTGACAACATTTACTGAAAATGACATCTTTTACATTGTCTTTTTAATTTTAAAGAGCATGCATTTAGCCTGATAAGAATATGTGTTTATTTTAGCTGAGGCACTTACTTCAATATTCACAGCACACGTCTCAGCATTCTTGTGTATTTTATCAGCCATTTCATCAATAATCTTCAATATGGATGGTTTCTCTGAGTGCTGGGCTTGACAGAGCTCTGGCCAGACCTGCTCCATGACCTCCCAGTTACGCTTGCATATAAGACTTCGCTGCTTTGTACCGTTTAAAACATATAGTGCTCCCTAGAAAAAAAGATGTGTGTCAAAAAGCAATTTCTCCCTATACTATATTTAATATTAAACAATTGCAGATTATGGTACTATTTGACTTCGCTGTTTTGTGCCATTTAAAACATATAGCGCTCCCTAGGGAAAGATGTCTCATTAAGCAGTGTGGTGTCATGTTAAATATAACAAGGCATTAACATGCAAAATGTCACTGCAACTGCCATTTGTTACAGACACCAAATGCCCAACACCAACCATCAAACACCAACTGCCGAACACTGTCCACAAAAAGCTAGAGACCATAACAATATTACCACAAAAAAGTTACACTTTAAGTCACAATTCAAAACCAAATTTCCTACTAAGGATATTATATAAATCTAATTTATTGTAGATAAGCCTCAAATTCATGAAAGATTCTTGACTGATAAAAGTTAATCAGTAGCAATTAGCTATAACATGCAGACTCATTAATATTTGAGCATCATATTATTGAATAAAATGTATTTTGGATAAGCCTCAAATTCATGAAAGATTCTAGATTGATAAAAGTTAATTTAGAAATGAGCTATTACATGCAGACTCATTAATATTTGAGCATCATATTATTAAACAAGAGATCATTTAAAAAAAATGAAGGCTCGTGTGAAGGAGATGTTTGCAGTGTTGTAATGAAATGTATTGATAAATAGGGATGCTTACCTTTAACGCGGTTGTAATTTACCGAACGGCAAAAGTAGAAAAAATCCGAACATTTTGAACTGATTAAGATCTTTAAATTGTGAAGGTCTGAGTACCTGGACCTCTTAAAAAACATCCGAACATATCTAAAAGTGAAGATGGGTCAATTTGATTCTCGTTCTCCGAAGATATTAATAAAATAGTTAAATGTTCTGGGATTTTTTAATGCTGTAAATTGTTCACAATCCTAAATCAAGAAGTCGCTCGTATTTCTGTCGTATCATGTTGCCGAAAATCAGTGCGCAGAATCCATGGTGTTGTTGTAAAATGTGCATACGATCGTATTGTCGTTTGAAACCCTCTCTAACGCAATTTTATTATAAACTAACACCTTAGGGTTAAACTTTTGCTCGAGGAATTAACTCATTTTCATCAACAAATATTAACCCACCAGGTTTTCTACTAGTAAACTAACGTTTAAACCTCAGTCCATTGTCGTTATCACTTACTACTATATCCAAGTGAGATATGGCTCTTGCCTCAGCACGAGCCAATAAAATGTGTTTTGGATAAGCCTCAAATTCATGAAAAATTCTAGATTGATAAAAGTTAATCTAGCAATTAGCTATTACATGCAGACTCATTAATATTAGGGCATCATATTTTTAAATTAAATGTGTTTTGAATAAGCCTCAAATCCATGAAAAATTCTTGACTGATAAAAATTTATCTAGAATTGAGCTAGGGTCATTAACGTTACCTTGAATTGCACATGGGCCTTTTCTTCATCCATGTCTGGTTTCACCTTGAGATGAGACATGATCTCAGGTAGTAGTTTCCTATAGGAGTAAGCAAACAGATGGAAACCTGTTGACAGCACTGACTGGGCCTGTTTACGAACCTAAAAGGAAAATTATAAGGATAATATAATACAAGAAGGGAAAACCTGTTGACAGCACTGACTGGGCCTGTTTACGAACCTAAAAGGAAAAGATAAGGACACTATAATACAAGAGGGGAAAACCTGTTGACAGCATTGACTGGGCCTGTTTACGAACCTAAAAGGAAAAGATAAGGACACTATATACAAGAAGAGAAAACCTGTTGACAGCACTGACTGGGCCTGTTTACGAACCTTAAAGGAAAAGATAAGGACACTATATACAAGAGGGGAAAACCTGTTGACAGCACTGACTGGGCCTGTTTACGAACCTAAAAAGAAAAGATAAGGACACTATAATACAAGAAGGGAAAACCTGTTGACAGCACTGACTGGGCTTACGAACCTAAAAGGAAAAGATAAGGACACTATAATACAAGAGGGGAAAACCTGTTGACAGCACTGACTGGGCCTGTTTACGAACCTAAAAGGAAAAGATAAGGACACTATAATACAAGAGGGGAAAACCTGTTCATAGCACTGACTGGGCTTGCTTACGAACCTAAAAGGAAACCATAAGAAGTTAAAAGTAAGGAAGCTATTATACTTTGTATGGGACAGGAAAACCTATGCTCAGCCACTATTATGGTGTTACAATTCCTTACCTTAATAAGTCATGATTATTTTAAAAGTAGAAGAATGGAGCTATTATACACTGCAGGATATGGTACAGGGTAACACCAATTATGGGATTACTGCTAATTTAAACTTATTTCTTCACCATATTGAAGTATTTATTGTTGATACAGCATAGGTAGGGGTAATATTTTGTGGGGAAGGAATTTCTTACCTCACTGTAGTGGCTCAAAGATAACCTGAGAAGGTCTTCAAACAGACTTAGATGAAGTGGCGTGAAAGACTTGTTACTTTTTTGTACGACTCGCAGTTCATGCTGCAGTTGGCACCTGTCGACAATCAGAGCTCTCATGTGACGCTTTCCTCCTCGTAACTGCAAATTCACAAACAATACTATATTATACAAAAGTCTGTCCAATATCACTGAGCTTGAATCAGGCCAATAAAAAGAATTTTGATTTCCATTCTCTTGCAAATTTACATTTTTCTAAGGATATATCTACCACTTGGCTTTGAACACTTCACACTTGTAAACTATTTAGTCTCAGTTCAAAAAATATGTTTGTACATCGTCACAACAAAAAACGATAAACTAGATAAGAAATATCAGATCATTAAGAGTTTTAGAGAGTTTAGAACAAGCACACTGACCTTATCCTCTGTTGTGGTCTTAACCATTTGGAAGCTTCTCCACCTGCCATCAAAGTCGGATTTGTCAGTACCATAGAAGTACATGACAACATTGTAGAGCTTCAATATGTGAATCAGAGATTTGGTGTCATCTTCTGTGTTTGTTAAAACATGACCTAGAAATGGGGAAACCCAGTTATTAGACCATTAAGTGCTCAATGTATGAACAATGTAAGATATATATCAATTGCCCATAGAAGTACATGACAACATTGTAGAGCTTCAATATATGGATCAGAGATTTGGTGTCATCCTCTGTGTTTGTTAATACATGACCTAGAAATGAGGTAACCCAGTTATTAGACTACAAAGTGCTCAATGTATGAACAATGTAAGATATATATCAATTGCCCATAGAAGTACATGACAACATTGTAGAGCTTCAATATATGGATCAGAGATTTGGTGTCATCCTCTGTGTTTGTTAATACATGACCTAGAAATGAGGTAACCCAGTTATTAGACTACAAAGTGCTCAATGTATGAGCAATGTAAGATATATATCAATTGCCCATAGAAGTACATGACAACATTGTAGAGCTTCAATATATGGATCAGAGATTTGGTGTCATCCTCTGTGTTTGTTAATACATGACCTAGAAATGAGGTAACCCAGTTATTAGACTACAAAGTGCTCAATGTATGAACAATGTAAGATATATATCAATTGCCCATAGAAGTACATGACAACATTGTAGAGCTTCAATATATGGATCAGAGATTTGGTGTCATCCTCTGTAGGTTATGGGCTAGCCCTTAAATTGCGGTATGGAGGTAGAATTTTGGAGACCATGTTAGTTACATCCTAATTTGTAATTCTCACCACAATTTGGCAATAATTAAGCAAAATTTTACAGCGTTTAGGAAAAAATCAATATTTATACCCCCCGCAAGACAAAAGTAGGGGGTACATAGAAAATAATTAATAACTTTACAAAAACATTATGAATAACCACAATTTTTTCAGAATATATACACATATATGTCATTGATAACTGGTAAAAAATTGGTGAGTATAGGTATGATGGTTGCTATGGAAACAGAATTTGATTGTCAAAATTTGCTAATTTGTGTCTATTTTTGGCGGGCTAGTTGTCATGTAATTGTCTGATTGTATTGTTGGGCTGGCAAGCCATAATTATTTTGTATTACGTCATGATGTACGGGGATCGGGGCTTACGCCATATTGAAATAAACTGGACAAAGTCAGCCAATATATCTCTTAGTGTTATTCGAAATATAACGTAACAGAACATGGTGTCAAACGTTGGATGCGAGCCTACGGGGATATAAAACCACAGAGAAAAAGTAGGACATGTAAAACTTGTCTGAAAGTGACCAGATTAGAGGTATTTTTGGTGTTTAACTTTGATTGCCGGTGAAATTTTGTGCAAATTTCGAGCATGACATTTTTGCGCACGACACGGATTACATCATTGCTTCGTGCACACGACACGGATTACGCCATTGCTTCGCGGAGATATGCAAATGCCATGGATTGCGTCATTGCTGCTGTACTACAGTAAGAATTTGAGTCCAACTGATATTTAAACTTGTGAACTGTACTTCTACTCTTGTGTATTAACTATCGTGATTATATTGTCATCTTTGGATTATTATAATGGCCAAGATTCAGCCTCCAAACCCTTTTAACTTTGATAAACCCAATGAGTGGATTGCTTGGAGAGAAAGGTTCCTGAGGTTTAGGCTAGCTACAAAACTTAACAAAGAGGATGATATTACACAAGTCAGTCAACTTATATATATTATGGGCCAATCCGCAGAGGACATATACAAACAGTTTACGTTTGAGCCCTTACCAGTTGCTGAAGATGGCCAAATACTTGATCCGCCAGACAACAGGTACAATTTTGATGCCGTTTTGGGCAAATTTGATAACTATTTTGTGCCAAAGATAAACATTATTCATGAACGAAGGGTCTTCAACCTTAGACAACTGGGAGAGTCAGAAACAATGGAGGAATATATCCGAGATTTGTATAAACTGAGTCAACATTGTTCGTTCGTTGACAGAAACGAAATGATTCGCGATAAGATCATCGTTTCCATCAAAGACAGAGACTTGTCAGAGCGAGTCCAGACACTTGCCATGACGTGTGATCTCACTCTAGAGAAAACTATTGAACTAGTTCGTAGTCATGAACTTATAATATCACAGTCTCAAGCTGAAGGGAGACCTACTGATACAAGTAACGTTGATTTTGTTCGTAAGCGACCCCCGCAACAGAGAGCTACACGACAAAACTACAGAAAACAAGACCAGGCACAACACAAAGCAGACAAACACAAGTGTGACAGATGTGGCTACATTCACAGAAATGATAAATGCCCTGCTAAAGGAAAAACCTGTCATAATTGCAAGAAATTAAATCATTTCTCAAGTGTGTGTAAATCAAATAAGAAATCTGTTGATAAAAGAGTTGTACATGAATGTTATGATGAATGTGCTGAAGCCGATCTTGACACTACTGAGTTTCATGTAGGTGAGCTTGTGCATTTGGTTGATTCTGCCAAGTCACTGATTGTAGATAGGCACACAGAGCCACCATGGCGTGTGACCTTACCCATTTGTGGTAAATTGATGAGTTTCAAGATCGACACAGGCGCTGATGTAAATGTTATGAGTAACAAAGCATATGAATGCCTTACACCAAAACCTAGGTTACAAAGGCATGATGGTCCTCCACTGAAGTCAGTAGGTGGGGTAATAGATACAAGAGGTTATTTTATAACAAATAGCAATCTTGATGGTACCAAATTCTCAATGAGAATATTTGTATTAAATGGGCCAAAGTGTGATAACTTATTATGTCGCAGATCTGCTAAAATGTTGAATCTAGTTACTAAAAATGTACATGTTGTAACTCAGACCTCTCAGAGCGAGGCAGGTAAAATTGGTTCTGATCCTGGTAACCATAGAAATAAAATTCCAATGCCCCCTAGTAACAATACTTCTGAAATGCCAGGTCATGTAAAAGACCCCATAAATGATAATGAATTGTATGGGGAAGTGGGTACAATGAAATGTGAGCCAGTCAAAATTGAGTTGAAGCAAGATGCTGAACCATATGCTGTTGTGGTACCGAGGCGCGTTCCATTTCCTATAATGAAACCATTACAAGAAAAACTCGAATCAATGGAATCCAATGGTATTATTGCCAAGATAACTGAGCCTACTGAGTGGTGTTCACCCATGGTCCCGGTAGTCTCAAAGTCAGGAAAAATTCGCGTGACGGTTGACTTTAGAAAACTTAATAAATCAGTTAAGCGCGAGAGATTTGTCCTACCAACCATTGACTGTATATTACAGAAACTTTCGGGAAGTTCTGTCTTTTCCACCCTCGACGCCACAGGAGGTTTTCATCAAGTGCCACTTAGCGAGGTAAGTCAGCGTTTTACAACGTTTATAACACCCTTCGGTCGTTACGTATACAAGAAGATGCCACAAGGCATATCGCTTGCTCCAGAAATCTTTCAAAGAGAAATGTCGCGCATTTTGCAAAATTGTCCTGGAGTAGCAGTATTCATGGATGATATTATCGTTCATGGTAAGAATGTAGAAGATCATGATAAAAATCTCAAACAAGTCTTACAGAAAATCAAACAGTCCGGTCTAGTTCTCAACAAGGCGAAGTGTCATTACCGGAAGCCTGAGCTCGTATTTTTAGGGCATAAAATTAGCGCTAATGGAGTCTCGCCAGACCCAGCCAAAGTCGCTGCGATAGTGGAAATGGAAATTCCTGAAAATGTTGAAGAATTACGACGATTCTTAGGCATGATAAATTGGATAGGTAGGTTTATACCAAACTTATCTACAATGCTTCACCCATTGAATGAACTTTTGAGAAAAGACACAATTTGGACATGGGGAAAAGCACAAATGGATGCCTTTGAAACAGTGAAACAGAAGGTAAGTAGTAAGCCTGTTCTAAAATACTACGACATCAATAAGCCATCGCGTGTTAGTGCTGACAGTAGCTGTTACGGGTTAGGCGGTGTCTTAGAGCAACAGCATGGAACAGATTGGTTTCCTGTTCATTACTGTTCTCGTTCATTAACTGATGCCGAACGCCGCTATGCTCAAATTGAAAAGGAACTTTTGGCAGGGGTGTGGTCAATGGAAAAATTCAGTCAGTATTTGGTCGGACTAGAATCATTTGTATATGTGACTGATCACAAACCTCTGGTGCCAATTATAAATCAAAAGGATCTTGATCAAACACCGGTGCGATGCCAGAGAATGCTAATTCGTCTCATGAGGTTTAATTGTATCGCTGAATACAGACCCGGAAAGACATTAGTCATAGCAGACACATTGTCTAGAAAACCGCTTAGTAGCATGGAATCAAACACTGTAGAAAGTGTGACGGAATATGAGAGTTTCATATATGATAACCTACCAGTCGCGAAGTCGCGTCTTGAGAATATTCGTGACTTGTCACAGATTGATCCTGAAATCTCAACAGTCATGAATTATGTTCTTCATGGTTGGCCGGAATATTACAAAGACGTGAAAGAAGTTGCCAAGCGATACTATGATTGTAGAGAATCCTTGAGTGTTGTCAATGACATACTTATGTATGGTAACCGTATCACTATACCGGCTGCATGTCGCAATAATATTCTTGATCAAATTCACGAGGGTCACTTCGGAATTCACAAATGCCGTGAACGCGCTAATGGGACAGTATGGTGGCCAGGGCTTACATCACAAATCAAAGAATTGGTGGCCAAATGTAAGCACTGCCAAATTTTGAAACCTAAACAGAGAAGTGAACCATTAATTCCAACAAAATTACCAGATCGCCCCTGGCAGCAATTAGCAACTGATTTATGTGAATGCTTCAAGAAGCAATATTTAGTCACAGTTGATTACTATTCTCGCTATCTAGAAATTGCTCATGTTAGGGGTAGTGTCACAACAACTCAAATCATAAACAAACTCAAAAAGATATTTGCCAGGAATGGTATCCCTGAAGTGTTAGTATCAGATAATGGACCACAGTTTAGCTCAAAACAATTTGCAGATTTCGCAAAAGAGTTTGATTTTAAACATGTAACATCAAGTCCCAGATACAGTCAAAGTAACGGTCTT